GTGCAGCCCAGGGGCAGAGTGCAGGCTTAGAGTACACCCAAAGCCCTGGGCTCCTTCCCCAGTATCAGAACAAAACAACAAAGACACAAACCAATGCAAAAGCGAATCATTTAACTAGAAACAATTTAATCAGGAGTGGTGGTACACATCAGTCACCCCAGCATGCTGGGAAGCTGGGGCAGGAGGATAACAAGTTTGAGCCTAAGCTGAGCATTTTAGTGAGACCCTGTCTCAAAAACTAAAAGAGACTTCGATGTACCTCAGCACCCCCTTGATCCCCAATGCAAAATGAAAATCAACTGGGGTGTTGCTGAGAAAAAGGGGATAGTCTGAGATAGTTCTGAACCTTTCATGGAGTACACCAATAAACACTTGTTTATATGTGAAAAATAAATCAAGACATAGGATTTCAATCAGCCACAGTGAAGCACAAATTCCAGTCTGCCCCTGGGTGGTAGAAGTGGCAATTTATTCTCACTTGGAATTGTCTTCACTTTGCTACAATGTATTTATGTGTGTGTTGTGTGTGTGCGCTCTCCAGCAGGTACCCAGAAAGATACTTTTTCAGTGTACAAAGTATCCTTCCAAAAGCTGTCCTCCAGAGAGGCCCTCTCTCCCTAAGAGGTGGCCTTCTCACAGACAACAAACAGCAACCTGTGCACTTAGCCTTTGATACCTCTGAAGGACTGAGGAGTTATTCTGTAACAACTGAGGAACTGGGTGGTTACTCTCCATCTACAATGAACCACATCCTTGGTAGTCACCATGCAGCTCATGTGATGGAGTGGCTACCCCGCTGCTGCACATACGGCAAATGGGGCGAGTGTGATGAACCTGCGCACTCACTCTGAGACACGGGATGAAGGGGGTGGTTACTCTGCAGCTCACGCTGTGGGGCAGCTGAAGCAGCTGCCCAGTCTAGACAAACAGCCTTGCTTCCTAATAGAGTGGAGTTCAACTACCACCCCACCTCCCAAGGACTGAGCTCAGAACCTACAGGTTCCTTATGCCATTAAGTAGGTGATTGGGCCACTGTCACCTCCATTTCCATGTCCAAGTCACAGGGATCCTGAGAGGCCCCAAGGTGCAAGCTGGCACCAGGAACATGAAGCCAAAGCCACATCATTATTACTGACTTTGAGGAGCTGTTGGGTGCTGCCACGATGAGGACAAAGATGAATGGCTTCAGGGGCTGGGAGGTGGCTCAGTGGAATAAGCGCTTCCCTGGCAAGCGCAAGGCCTGAGTTCAATCCCTGGTTCTGCCAAAAAAAAAAAAAAAAAAAAAAAAGCCAGTCTTACGCTATATACTGGCCCTTTAAATTAACCACTAAGAAGAATATATGCAGTGTATTATTTGTTGAAAAATAAAAAAAAAATAAAAAAAATAAAAATAAAAATAAAAAATAAAAAATAAAAAAAATAAAAGATGAATGGCTTCAGGTGGGTGGGCGCCGCACCAGGGCCTGTCCCCACGCTGTGAGGACAGTCAGAAGGGCAGAGAGAGCCCAGCAGGAGGGCTACATGCTGGCTGGGCTGTCAGTGCCTTATAAGGATCTGCCACTCCTAAGAGGTTTAGAAAGCGAGGGAAGGGGTAAAGGTAAAGGCTCGAGGACAGAGGAGGAGGAACGCAGCAGCTCCTGCCTGTAGCCACCAGCATTGTGGAGGATGCCCCCGCAGGGGCACAGGGTCCTCTGACTGCAACTTCTGTCAGCCTCACTCAAGCAAAGCTCCCACTTGGGAGCTACTTCGCCAGCTGATGGGCCCTTGAATATCAGGTGGGGTGTCAGCAGCCAATAGGAGCTGTCCCCTAAAAAAAGCCCTCAGCTGCAGAAAGGTTCCCTTCTGCTCGGGCACATCCTTCTGGGTAATACAGCCAGGGCAGTGACACACACCTGTTATGGTTTGTGTCTGCTGTCCCCGCAAAGCCTCATCAGTCATGGGGTGGGCTCTAGAGTTTGTGATTAATTCATGATCCAATGCTAGGATAATGGGTGTGATGTCCCTGGGGTGGACAGCCTGAATACATGGGGAAGGGAGGGAGGCTGGTAGCTGCCACAACCACAACCACTGCTCTTCCCTTTGCTCTTTGCTGTTTTCTGCCGCCATGAGCGGCTGCTCCCTGCCATGTGCAGCTCTGCCTTGGAGCCAGTCAAGTATGGACTGAAACCTCCACTAACTGTGCGCTAAATAAGCTTTTCCTCAATTTTGGGCATCAGGTATTTTGTCCCAGCAAGAAAAGTAACTGAGATAGAATTTAGTACTGAGACATAGGGTCACTCCTGTGACTACACCTGACAGTGTGGCACAGGGCCTTTCCCCTGAGCTTACGGAAAGAGGCAGGAAGGGTTTGGAGATGTCTTCTAAGAGGGAGGTGCTGGAACACCTTTGGTTGTTCTGTAGGGGAGATTCTGGCCAGTGCTCTGAAGACCAGAAGACTGAAAGAAATCCTGCCTGTAAAGACTGAACTGGGGCGTTTCTTATGGAGAAAGGACTGACTGACCGTTGGACTCCAGGTGATGTGTGCTATGGCTTGGCAGAAAGTTTGTCTGCATTTTGCTCCTGTCCAGAGACTTTACCTGAGACTGAGATTAAGTTCGTTGAACTGATTAATCTTACAGAAGAAATTTCAAGTCAGTCAAATGTTGAGACAGTGGTGTGGCTACTGTTGGGGTTTTTAAATCAGATTTGAGAATCAAGTGAAAGAATCCAGAAGAGTGATTTAAAATGTGAGTTTGGCCAAAAAGGAAGTGTCAATAAAGCTATGCAATGCAAAGATAGAGTTGAGAAGATTTCCAATGCCAAGAAGGAACAAGAGAATAGAAAAGATGGCTTGAGGGCATCACAAGAAGCAGCAAATCTCCACTTTGTAGCTCAAAACTGCAAAAGTGGAAGACTTGGCCTTGAGGAAAAAGCCACAGAGCCTCATGTTCCAGAATGGCCACACCAGATTCCAGAGTAGTGATGACATAGAGAATCTGTTCCTAGGAATCAGGGTCAGAGTGCTCAGCGATCCAGACCTCCACCCTGCAGCCAAGAGAGAAGAAAGCCTGTCTACTGCCCCAGCTGGCAGCAGCCCTTGGCATCGTCCATATGGCACTGGTTTTAGGAACATGAAAAATGCAGGAGTTCTGAGGTTAAAGCTTCCACCTAGATTTCAGAAGAAGGGCCTGAGAGGCCAGGCAGTGTGTCCCTAGGAGGGCAGTATGCGAAGCTGTGAGAAGCCTACAGCGCAGGGCAAACCCCAGAAGTCTGGAAAAGCCAGGAACGTCGATCACCTAAAGAAAGCTGCAAGGAGGGAGCAAAGCAAGCCGAAGAGAGAAGCCACGGGAGCTACCACCAAAAGTGCCATAGAGGTGGAGCCACAGGGAGCTCACACTTGCCACAGATTACTTCGGATGTTCCACATGGAACTACAGGACTTAATGTTTGTGCTTCTGGATTTTGGACTTGCTTTGGTCCTAGTGCTTTGTGTCCTGCTGTGTGTACCTCTTGGAATGGCAACATTTTCCTGTGCCATTGAATGTTGTAAGTGTATAACTTTTCATTTGTACAGGGACTCACAGCTGAGAGTTTGCCTTAGATCCTGGAGAAGACTTGGGAGTTGGACTTTTCCAAAATGCTGTAACTCTTAGGACTTTGGCAACTCAGAGATGGACTAAAATGCCTTTTGCATAAAGGGATGTGCATGAGACTTTGGGGGAGTATTTAGGGGGAAGGTTACGGTGTCCAGGTGTACCTCCAAAGCCTCACGCAGTTATGGGACAGACTTTTAGGCTTTGTGATTAATTCATGATCCAGTGCTGGCATTATGGGTGTAAGTGCTACACCCGCCCTGGGGTGGCTAGCTGGATGCAGTGTGGGGAAGGGAGAGAGGCTTGCCAGCTGCCGCAACCACTTTTGGCTCTCGCTCTTTGCTGTTTTCTGCCACTATGAGCTGCTGCCCTCTGCCATGTGCCACTCTGCCTTGGAGCCAGCCGAGTATGGACTGAAACCTCCACTAACTGTGAGTTAAATAAACCTTTCCTTCCTTAATTTGGGGTGTCAGGTATTTTGTCCCAGCAATGAGAGAAAAACAACCAAAAAGTAACCAAGACATCTGCCATCCCAAATACTCATGCTGCCAAGCTCCAGGTCAGCTGGGGTAACTTAGGGAGATACTATCTGAAAGGACTATATACAGCCCAGAGGCAGAGCACTCACAGGGCACGTGGAGGTCCTGGGTGGGATGGAGAGAAGGGAAAGAGGGCAGGCAGTGGGAACAAGAGCAGGAAAAGAGGGAGGGAAGAAGAAAGTGGGGAGAAAGGTAAGCTGGTTTACTGGCGAGGAATGGGGGTGCAGTTCACTGGTGAGTACTTGCTTGGCAAATATCAGGCCATGGGTTCCAACGCCAGTGCTACAAACAGAAAAAGGACTGGCCCCTGTAAGATGCCAGGCCCTGAGCTTCACCCTGGGTCTCTACCCCCAAGAAGCTCAGGACAGCCCACTGACCTTGTCTCTAAATTCCCAACAAATCCTTCTCCCCTGGGGTTCCCTCCCCAAGAAGTTATCTCTGATCACAGACCGGTGAGTCCACCTGTGCCCTCCAGGAAGCTCAGGGTAACCAGGCTGTGGTGGAGACTTGCAGGGTACTGGTGCTCATCTAGGAGCAGCTGGTAGCAAGGCAGGGAAGGGAGCCAAGCACAGACACCAAACACTGGTGACATGGCCCTTCAGGCTCCTTCTGCTCTAAATACTATGAATTCTCAGAGCAGCACCTTGTAGGCCACATGAGTGGTTTCCAGATTACAAACAGCTGGCTCTGGTCAGCCCCACCAACTAGTGGCTGGCTCCTCTCACAGGGACTCTACATGGTGACATACAAACGGTCAGTGCTGGTTTCACAGCTGGAGGGGGCAGCACTTCCGGCTGGGAAGGAGGGAGCAGAACGTGGCCGTGTCACAGAATGGCTGCGCACTGTGCACCACTAGCACAAGAATGGGGAATGAGGCGGGGCCACTTACCACGCTTGGGCTTGGGGAAGCTGTCGTGCAGCCGGAAGATCACCTTCTCCACGAAGTGCTGGATCTCACACTGCTCGGGGCCTCGGACAAACACCATCCAGTCGTGGGTAAAGCCCTCTGTGGTGGGCTTCTTGCGCAGCTGGGCACGGTGTCCCAGCTCTAACTTGACCTGCACGGTGCACTGAAGGGAAAGAGGGGGGCGAAGGTCAGCCGGAGCCTCAGGCAGAGCTGAGAACACAGCCAGTGACAGCAACGGAAGCGCATCTTCCTAGGGAGCCAGGGGACCACAGAAAACCCAGGGGGTGCCCAGCCAGCGGCGTCCCCACCTGCACCTCTACATCCTCCATCCCACATGCAGTCAGCCCCTCTGCAGGTGCTCCTGCCCTGGAAACCCCATTCACTAAGAGCCCCAAATCTCATCTGCACAGGGAGATGGCTGCCAAGAGAGCACCACCGCGCCCAACATCCTGTACACAGCCTGTCCTTTTAGCACTTTCACTATGGGAAACCATCTTGCACAGAGATGTCACCAAGGACGGCCACACCCTGGCCTGCAACACTGAGGGGACACTGAGGCTCTAGGAGCAGCTGTTCACCTCAGAGGAGCAGGCCCAGTTTCAGGCCGAGGGCTGTGGAGGCAAGGCCCGCCCTGGCCCCTGGAACCCCTGGCCCTTGCACCTCGCCCATAGCACCAAGGCACTGAGGCGCCCACTCCACTCCACATGCAGGACACAGAGTGGAGCACTTCTCACCCCCAGGTCACCAGCAACAATGTCCCTCGGTTCCCACAGCACAAACCATCCTTCCAGTGGGAAGGCAGCAACCAGCACATGGTCCCCAGTGACAGGTCCAGGGAGCCATGCAGCTTCTGCCATGCATGAACCTAACCTCGTGCCCTGGTGTAGGGGCAGCTGAGGCTGGTTCCTCTCCATTGAGCACAAAGCCACAGCCTTCAAAGCACTCTTCACACGTGGGCGGCCAGAGCCACTGACAGGGAACCTACTGTAAACATCCACTCTGGTTTGTAAAAACCTCCTTTTAATAGACAGTCTTGATACCAAGTATCAAATGCAAGAGTGTCACAGAAGAAAGTGGGCCAAGTGGACACTTGTTTCTAAGTGCCAGATAAGCAGGAGGCAGCAGCCAGGGCACAAGTGCCACACTGCCAGGGCAACTCCCCCAAGCTGGGCAGCTGCCCTGTGGAGCGCCCTCCCGGCCTGCCCCATGGAGCTCCTTCTGTAACTTTCAGCCTCCTTCCTCCCTCTCACCCTGCCTCTGCTCCTGCCACCTGGCTGGTGGGGGGGGGGCACCCTGCTCCCACGGGTGCCACCTCAGGGATGCCCCCCCAGTTCCACTCCAAGTCAGATACATCTGGCAGCCCATAATCCATGTGTATGCTTCCTGCTGAGGGCTCCCCTCCCCGCACACACACAGAAGCTGCTACCAAGCTGGCAGGGTCTCGGGCCCCAGAACTAAGGAAACAGGAAATGCCCCACCCTGTGTCCCAGCTCAGTGCCCACTCCTGCCCTGCAAGCTGGGGGCCCAAGACTCATTTCTCCACTGGGCAAAGTTCTCTGGTGCCTCCAGGCCGACAGTAGGGCTGGCTACTTCCATGGGCCTGCTCTGGCTGCCACACGGAAAACCAATCATTGCTGACATTCACGGCCAGCTCCCTGCCTCCTCAGCCTGCCCTAGTGCCTGGGCGCTTTTCATGTGCAACCCACCCCTGGAGAAGACCCCATGGTGTTCAGCCTCGCACTCGGCTGTCTTGGAAGTGCTATATGCACAGTGTGTCAGAAACACTGGGCCCACTTGACCAGATTGCCCTCAAGTCAAGTATTCTGGGGCCGTCTTCCAGAAGGGAAGGGCCTGAGGCAGAGGACAGCAGGGAGGCTCTAGTGTGTGACGAGCTGGCAGGAGGTCTAGCCTCCAGGCACTCAAGCCAGCCAGGTGCAAGACACAGGGTGGTTTTTGTTTGTTTTAATGCATTTGATACAGGTCTCACTATGCAGCTCAGACTCAGAGTGATCCTTCTGTTTTCAGCCTCTGTGGGCTGCTGGGATTACAGGTGTGTGCCACCACGCCAAGACTTGGTAGCTGGCTCAGCATGTCTGGGGGCGGGGCCGGTGCAGCATGTGCTTGCCTAAGCAGGCAGCTAGTCTGTTGAGCTATTTCACCAGTTCCCACGGGATGATTTTTCCAATTCAAGTTAAAAATAAATAAATAAATAGGTGTTTGGTACATCTATTTAATTTTTATCAATTTAAAAAAACAATTTAAAAGAGATGAGATGAAGCTGCTCCCCTGGCCCAGAATGCTGGCCCTTTGGGGCTCCTAGGAAGGGAAGTGACTCACAAGGGACACTCAAAGGAGTGGCTGGGACCAGATCAGACACGAGAATGGTAGGAGACTGGATGTGGATGATGGTCATAAGGAACAACACCAGAGTGACAGTCCTCCAGCAAGTTGTGCACAGTCCAAGCTAGAGGCAGAAAAGGAAAAACAAACAAGCCAGGTGAGGCGGTATACACCTGTCATCCCTGTGACTCTGGAGGCTGAGGCAGGAGGATTCAAATTCCATACCAGCTTGGGCAATTTAGCAAGATTCTGACTCAAAATTAGAAATAGAAAGGGTTGGGGATGTAGCGCACTAGCAAGGTGCCGCAGGTCCCATCCCCAACACCAGCCCCACAACCCCGCCAAAAGAGCAAATGCTGACAAGCAGCCTGCTAGGAAGCAAGCTGAGGGGAGAGACTGGAAGGAGAATTAGCGGGGACCACAAGGGAGAACCAGTGAGGTCAGAGTGGGGAGGAGACCTGGAAACTCCAAGACCTGGGGCAGGGCTGCGACACGGCAGGAACAGTGAGGAGACAAGAAAGAGAGGTCACTGGAGCTGGCGGACACAAGCCTCAAGGGAGAAGGTGCCCCAAAAGCCAGAGCTGAGGCCCTAGGGTCACTCACAGCACAGGCACCATGAGCTGTGCGCGGACAGCGCCCAAAAAAACAGATCTAAAACACTATAACTAAGCTCCCCACGGGCTGGGGCTGCAGCTGTCCTATAAGCTTATGCCTGCCATCCTCTGCCTTTTCCATCCTGAGAAAGGGGAGCTGACCCAAGCAGCTGGGAGGGTCGCAGGTGAAAACTTCTACCTCCGGCATGGTGGCACATGCCTGCAATCACAGCACTTGGGAGGCTGAGGCGGGAGGACTGCTGGAAGCTCGATGTTAGCCTGAACCACACAGTGATAACAGATTGCAAGTGGACAAGGGAGACAAGGAAGGAGAGCGCCTCCTTGGAGTCAGTCACTCACCAACCCAGCTGCTCAGCCCTCAGCTGCCCGCTCAGCACTCTGCATAACACAGAATCGCTACTCAGGGCAGGCAAGCACTGGAGCCGAGGTTGTGAAAGAGTAGAGACCAGGGCTCCCTCACAAGAGGGGAAGAATATAGGCGCCAAAACCGTGCTGCGGAGGCCAAAGTAAACATGAAGGTTCCAGGCAGCCATGGGCAATCTTAGCAGCCAGGAGGCTGGGCCCAAAGCACTGCCTGGCAACATCTATGCCCCAGAGGCTGGCGCCAAGGGCAGCCCCAACACCCCATGTAGGGCATACTGAGCTGAAGGCGGGGCCGACAGAAGAGGCTCTGGCCTGGCCCCTCACATACTGGCAACGCTGGGCTCTGGGAAGCAGCCCATCCCTTGGACGCTGTCAACGGCTAAGAAATGCACTGAAAGGATAACACAGACTGCACCGTTGCCTTCAAAAAGGAACCACTGACTCAGGAAGACGCCTGTGCTGTGATAACTGCAGCCCTGGGTGATGCAGGCCCTGGCCAACCCCTCTGACGTGTCAAGTCCTGATAACTTATAAGCACAGCAGAGCCCGTCCCACTGTCCAGGCTCACACCTCCTCCTCCAGCTGCTCCACTGGGCTCTCTCCACAGTCACCACACCAATCAGCCGCTTCTCCCCAAGGGCACCTGGCTTTGAGGCTAACTGGTACAGAGGCTCGGCAGAAGCCCCAGAATGAATTCGTCTATCTTGTCAAGAGCCATCACCCTGCCAACCTAGGGCGGCTCCTTCTGCTGCCAGGGGCCATGCTGTAGGAACCCCAGAATGGCTGGCTGACTGCCACTTCACTGCATAGTTGGGGATCACACTGCCACCCACTCCCCAATAAAAGCCCAGAAGGAAGGCCTTTTTCCATGCCTGAGGAAAGTGATAACCACCTTTCTTCTGGAACATCATCCAAAGGTCAGTGAGAGATGGGGACCCAAGTGTCATCTGGGGACACTTAAACGTGGGCAGGAGCCTTAACTGGGCTACTGCCCTTAGTCCATGCCAGCTGGCAGAGGGCACACAGAACATGGGGCCAGAATCCGAAATCTGGCAGCTGGGCAAGCATGGCAGAGGGGTCTTCCCGGACTGTTTTCTCACAGAGACAGTAACGTTCTCCAGGTAGGGACTGAACTGGCCTTTGCCTGGCTAAGGGCAGGCAGCACTGCTCGATTCCAAGCCACCTGGCTTCCCTGGAGACCGACCATAAGCCTAGGCCGCAGATGCCAGGTCTTTAGCAATTAGTTTACCTGTAAGAGTTCTGCACGTTTTCTGGTGGGAATTCACCCCACAAATGCCCTCTCCTCTGGGGATGCACACTTTACCTAGTGGTATAATTATGCCCAATCCCAACTACTAGGTCTTGTTCCCTGTGATCCACTGACCTCCACCCCTCTTAGGAGCACTCAGTCAAGTCCCTCTCCGCTCAAATGGCTGTGAAGTCCTACTGGATGGGGTGCAGCTCCACACACCAACAGGGCTCAGGCGAGCCCTCAAAGTGATGGCAAAACAAGCCCAAGTAAAGGATGCTCTGTGGAACTTCCTCCTCTGGGCGCAGATGGTGGCTCTCTGGGACAGCCACTGAATGAAATCAGAAGAAGGGCGACCAAAGGACAGGGGCCTTTAAGTAAGGGTCCTCTCCAGCACAGCGCTGTCTGCCTGGAAGGTGGGGACAGAGCCAGAGGGAACAGCACTGTTCAGTGGCACCTGACCAGGCCCTAGATCTCTAAGCAAAGTATACAGGGGCCCGTGGCCACCCCTCCACACTTTACCAGCTCCATCCAACATCATCCTGCTGACACGGGCACAAGATTAACAACAAAGGCAGACAGCACACAGTAAATTTCTCTCTAGAAACACTGAAGATAGATGTCCAGACCCATGGATATGCATGTTACCTACAATTCTTCACTGTTAGTCCCTGGCAGGGTGTTTACACATAAGGTACCACTGAGTGTGCACTGTAGCCAAGGGGTCGCCTAATAGCTCCCAGGTTAAGGGGAGCAGTCTTTGGGGAGAATTTTTAATGTCCACAAACCCATTCAAGACATCTGTCACTTGGTCATAGGGGTCTGGTTGCAAAGAGACTTTCAGTTAACTTTTATTTAGAGTGGAATGCAACACCGAAACTGGGCGTGGTGGTGCACGCCTATAATCCCAGTGCTAGGGAGGCTGAGCCAGGATGATCACTGGGGGTCTGAGCTGTATAGTGAGACCCTGTACCAAATAAATAAATAATAAAAAATATTTTTTTTAAATGGAGTGGAATGTAAAACCTAGCATTAGAGACTATGATGGACATTATAGGAGAAGAAGATGCAGGTCTCTGTCCTCAACAACCTGACAATATAAAAACTTCTGAACAAAAGACTCTCGCGGGACTTTGAAAGTCATGAGTTGGGAGCAGATCCATCACCCTGGCTTCCCATGCTGGGGACCTGCCAGCTTGTAAACAAAGGTCTGGGGAGAAGAATAAAGGTATGAAAGAAAGGCTCCAAGTAGGCTCTGACCCATCTGGTGGCAATTCCTAGGCCTGAATTTCATCTGTAAAACAGGTGGCGCGGGGGCTACTCACGGCCACCAACATCAGACACAGCCCGCCCTCCAGCAAGAGCCGTCATGAGGCAGCAGCTCTGAGTCAAAGGTTAGGCCATATGAAGAACAGGCAAGCAGCGATCATCAGCGGGCTGCAGCCTGTCAGAGGGTTGGCCGCCTAAGGGGGCAATCCTTAGAAGTCCTTGGACCACCCCAGAGCTCCCCAGGGGAGTCTGGTCCCAGCAACCTGCAGCCACACCCCTTCCCATCTTTTCAGCATCCACACAGACTTTGTCTAAATCCTAGCCCAAAGCCTTCCCCACCCAGGCCTGGAGATAAACCACTCCTCCCAGACACAACCCCTAAATGAGCAGAGGGCTCACGCACCCGCCTGCCAAGGAAAATACACGTGCCACAGGCACCAGCAGACGTGGGGTGGGGAGAGTGGCCAACATGTAGGTAGGGTGTGGGCCGGGACAACCACACTCTCCCCAGGCCACAGGGGAAAAGAAGCCAGTGCAGGGAAGGTGGGAAAATCCACCTCCCCACTGGGCCTGAGAGTCCTAGGGGAAGGTGAGCCCAACAGGTAGAAAAGCGCATCACAGCCTCCGGAAGCCAGAGCGCACCCAGGGGAGTCAGGCCACTGCCTGCTATAATGAGCCATTTACAGTGCTGGGGCCTCTCCAGGCAGGGGAGGAGGAAGGTTCTGTGGACTCAAAGCCTGCTCTGTGCACCAAAAGCCACTCTGGACACTGGTAGAAACCCACTTCCCTGGGCAGCAACACCCTTCTCCCTTACCTTCCCAAGGGCCTTTCTGTGGGCAAGGGCCAGAGTGCACCTCAGTGGTGGGAGGATCAGACCTGGGGTCCCTAGGGACCTTCTGCACAGATGGAAACATCAGCCACGTCAGGGGGCTGCCCGGTGCTGAGTGCGTACTTAGATGGTGGCTGGTGAGGCTGAGGGACTGAATTTTTCATATGCCCTGGGTGAAATTTCTAACAGCCACAGATAGTGGTGGCTGCATACTGGGCAACGCGGACAGCCCAGCCCTCCACCACCGGTACCACCTGAGTGCGGCGTTTATCTCTGTCATAGACCCCGAATGCCCCTCTTCCCACCATCCCACTTATCCCAGTGACAGCTGCCCAGACACCCAGAGCTCAGCACATCACAGGGACACAGCCTGAACTCCGGAGGCTAAGGGATAGGGATGAGGCCATGCTCAGCGCCTCTGTGGAAACAAGACACTTTCCTGGGACAGGCTTCACGGATGGCACATGCCATAGAGATGTTTCACTGGGGTAACTCAACAGGGATCGGAGGTTCGTGAAAATCCACGGACTGCATGCCATGCAGCTTTCCTCACCTCTCAAGACAAAGACGGCCACACCGAAGACAGAAAGGAACTCAGAAGCCCCAGTCACCTGCCTCAGTGACCCCAGGCCATGGTAAGGGGCAGGCAAGAGAACGATTCTTGCCCCACCCCCCGCCATCCCAGAAACCACTCAGCCCCACGGCATCTTACCAGGCAGAGCCGCCTCCATGGCGCCAGCAGCTAGGGACGCCCCGACCTGCCCTCGCTCCCAGCACACAGTCTGGCTGCCACCCCCATAGCCCCACAATGTCTGCCTCCCTGGCCTCACGCCCCTGGAAGCCAAGACAGAAGGTTGAACAAGTGACCCTGCCTGGGTTGGAGACAGTAGTGATGTGGGTTTTCAGAAAAAGGGGAAGGGGCCTGGGTGCTGAAAAAGGTAGACAGCACAGGGCTGGGGGTCCACAAGCACAAATAGGGGTGGCTTGGCATGGTATGGCTTCCTGATCCCCAGGGGAGGTGCCCATTGGAGAGAGCAGGAGGCGGGGGATCTTCCCTGGGTCCAAACTGAGGCTCTAAGATACTAGGAAGAAGTGTAAACTCAGGGGAGAGGGTAGTAGCTGGATGAGTCGGGTCGGAGAAGAAAGTGCCTGGTCCAGGTCTAATAGAAGAGGGTCAAAGGCAAAAGAGCCCTCAGGCCCTGTGGCCCAAGAGAAAACGACTAGGAGCCTGAAACGAGGAGCCGCCCAGGGAAGCAGTAGGTCCACAGCCCCAGTCTGAAGGGAAAGGGCACTAGACAGGCCTAAGTCCCTATAGCAAAGGGTGGCAGCTTGGGGCCCAGGGAGCCGAGGGAGCTCAGGCCCCGACTGGGGCGTGAGGTGAGAGACGGCTCGGGCCCAAGGAGGGGACTGGGGGAAAGGTGGCCTAGGGGCGGGCCTGGGTTGTGGCGGGGGACGCTAAGAGGACTCAAACCTGAGCTCTACGGCTTAAAGGACAACAGACAGCACCTAGGCTGGTGGTTTATGGAGTTTGAGGCGACCTGGGGTCCAGAGAGAAGGGCCTGGTCACAGAACGGAGGAAAGCTCAGCCTAAATCCGGGGAGTACGAGGAGGCGCTGGCCTGGGCTGGAGTCCCCAGAGCTGTCTGCAGGGTCTCTGGGTGGAGCTGGGGTTGCCCGGTGGCATCCTAAGGGGTTCTGGATCGAACTGGGGTCCTCAAGGCCATCCTAGGGCGCTCTGGATCGCACCGGGCTTCCCAGGCGCATCCCAGGGGACCCGGGGACAGGCCGCAGTCCCCAGGGGGCGGGGGGCGGGGTGGGGGAGGGGCGCCCCGCCCCACTTCGAGGCCGGAGAGCAACGGGCGCGCACAAAGCGGGCGGGGAGGCCGGGCCCGGGCAAGCAGGCAGAGGGAGGAGGAGGGCGCGGGCGGGCTCGGCCGGGCGGCGCGGCCGCTCCTCACCTGATTGTCCATGGCTGGCGCCCCGCCCCGCCCCCGGGCCCCGCGTCTCTCGCCGCCGCCGCCGCTCAACGCCGCCCCGCCGCCCTCATTGTCAGGCGCCGCCACCGCCGCCGCTCCGGGCCGCCAGCCCACCCGCCAGCCCCGCGGAACCGGAAACCACCGCCAGCCCGGGTCGCTCACCGACCGCGGGCCCCCGACGCCGACTCGGGCCCGCCGCCCAGACGGACAGTTATCTGGGCCAATCTAGGGGACGGACCACCGTTTGTGAGGCGGGACTTCCGACCTGTCGGGGGCCTGCCGGGCTGCGGTCGGAGGGACGAAGCCTTCAGCCAATGGGAGGCCGGGACCGGAGGGGCGGGAGGAGGGAGGGAGGGAGGTGCGAGCGGAGCTCAGCCGAGAGCGGCGCGAGGTGTGCGCCGCACGTGGAGGGGGGCGGCGGCGGGAAGGGGCTGCAGGCCTGCGCACTGCGGCCGGTGCGTCGCGGGCTGGCGTGTCCCGCGGGCCCGCGCCCCAGAGGACTCCCAGTGGAGCTCTGCCGATTCCCCAGGGGACGCTCTTGTGTCCTGGCCGTCTGTTGCTGGCATGTGATGGAATGCGCTCTGGAGGATTCAGTTTCAAACCTGGGTCTGCCTGGCCAACCAAGTTCCCTGCTTCTCCCTCCAGAGTCTGGGGCGCGGCAGGCGGGGGGTGACTCGACTGCGTGCGGATTGGGATGACAGCATTGGCAGTCCGGCTTCACTAGAGTGACCAAGATGTTCTCATGTGTTCAGTACTTAAGAGCTCCAAGCTACATGGCCCATGCTGGTTTCGAACTCTTGGGAGCAAGAGATCATCCTGACTCAGTTTCCTCAGTCACTGGGAAATAGTGTACATTTTAACATCATGAAAACATGTTTTAGCCGGCCAGATACCTCAGCGGACTAAAGCACCTGGTTAGGCAGGTGAGCCACTGGGGTTTGAGCCCCAGCACGCTGTGCCAGCTCCGCCCCTGGAGCGCGTTGAGAAAACAGACTGGGTGTGGCGGCGCGCGCCTGTAGTTCTAGCGCTTGGGAGGCTGAAACAGGAGGATCACGACGAATCCAAGCTGTGTAGCAAGACCCTGTTCCAAATAAAGAAATAAAACTTTTTTAAAAAAAAACAGAAGTTAAAAATTTTAGGATTTAGCGATCTCAGTGGTGATGGGCATCAGTAGTATGTGTGGGGCCCTGAGTTCAATTTCCAGCACAGAAATAAGTGCTGCTATTCTGCACTTCTCCTGGCCTGCTACTCGGGTGGTTGAAACAGGAGGATCACAAATTCAAGGTAAGTCTGGGCAGCTGAACAAGATCCTGTCTGAAAAACTGAAAAGGGAAGGTAGCTGTGTGGTGAAGTGCCTGGCTTCGATTCACAAGACCGTAGGTTCAATAGGTTCAGTCTCCAGGACTGGAAACAAAATAAAGCACATCTGAAAAAGGCCAGGTTTCTGTCCTCATAATATCGCCTTTCTTTTTAACCTAGGGCACGACATGTAGAAAGGAGGAAAAAAAAATAGAGGTGAAGCTGAGAAAATAAGCAGCGCCAGACATTACAGTGAACACCTGTAATACCAGCCCTCGGGAGGCTGAGGCAGGAGGATCTCCAGGACTTTGAGGCCGGCCTGGGCTACATAGTGAGACCCTGTCTCACAAAACCAAAACCAACCAAACAAAAGCCAGGAATACTCTACCCCTGAGCTGTATGACTCTTTATTTTTTGAATACTTTTTTTTTTTTTTTTTTGAGATATGGTCTCACTTCATTGCCCAAGTTGCTTTCGAACTTAGGATACTCCTGCCTCAGCACCTTAGACTGCTGGAAAGACAGGAGGGGGTGCCACCATGCTGGGCAGCCTTGACATTTTGGCGGGGACCACCTCTTCCTAAGATGTCTATTGGCATAGCAGAAGATGTCCCCCCCCAGCCAGTATACTTCATCTCTCAGTTGCCCAGGAATTAATTCCCATTACAGTTCTCACTACTTTTATTTCTTAGAAACAACTGGTCACTGTAATACATAGCTGGTCCCTGTGGTGCTTATTGTACGAACCGCTTCCCAGCTGACAAGCCCCTCTGCCTCTGTACTTCCTGCTTGCTTATCCCATAGAAACCCTAGACTACCAGAGACCAGAGCCTGATATTCTGAGAATGATCCCCATCAGTGCCTGTCAATTTAAATAAATCTGCCTTCAAATCCTGGGTGTCCTTCTGGCGTTTCTGCTTGCCGTTGCATGCAGTGCATCAGCTGGGAACACCTGCTTTGGTCACCAGTCGAGGCCCCTGAGGATGGAGCAAGGACCTCCCCAGGCCCGGGTAGGAAGGCATGCCCTTGAGGTTTCTTGAGTCCACTCAGAGGTCTGGAGGAAGGTTTCTGGCCCTCCACTTGAGCAGCTCACATCAGACCCTAAGGGGAGGAGAACACAACCTGTCTGTCTGCCTGCCTGATTCGAGTAAGGCCCCTGGGAGCACCCTAGTCATTCTGTCCATCAGTCCTGCTCGGTTCAAGCTGCAAAAGAGCTAGATCAACTCTTGTTGTGGAAGGCCACCCTCGAGGGAAGAGGGGTTACAATGCTTAGCCTGAGTGCCTGGTGAATGAATGTGTGTGTGAGTGGACCAGGCAGCACGAGCAACAGGCTGCTCCGTCTGTGCACCACTGAAGCACTGCTCCAGGTGGCTGAGGGGCCCTCACCTGGCATAACGGAGGCCTTGCACCCTCCTTAGCTAAGTCATGCCCAAGTCTCCACGAGGGGCGTAGCCAGCTGGGCATCTAAATGGTCCCTCTCTAAACAGTCTCTCTCATCCTTTGTGGGCTGTGCCATTGTGCAATGCTACAAAACACACATAGGAAGTCAAAGATGGAAATTAATTAGTCAAAATCCACAGGTTTTAAGGAGTTAAAATAAAGCTAAACCATTTCCTGCATTTCAAAGAAGAGAGAGAGAGAGACAGAGACAGAGACAGAGACAGAGAGAGAGAGAGAGAGAGAGAGAAGGAAGAGGCCCATTCTTCCTGAGAATTCCACCATGGCTCCTTCGTTGTCTGCTGCAGCTGCCACCATCACCTCTGGCTTTACTCCCCGCTCCTGACCCACCTACTTCCAGCCAACTGAACCGATTCCAGCCAGCCGTTGCCTATGTTTGGCCACAGAGGCCCTCCCTCCAGTGCCTCCACTTACACTCCTGGTCAGACGGCGTCATCGAATCCCCAGCCAAGGTGACTGTCAACAATTCTATCTGCATTCCACACACTGACTGAGGAAAACCTGGACCGTCAGCCCTGACAAATGAGCTGTGCCCTGTGGGGCTGGAATAGATTACATGGACTGAGCTTCATCAGACTGGGCCCCAGAGAATCTGCGGTCATTGCACAAGTCAGGAGCAAACCTGTGACTTTCTGGTAGACAACAGAACGGAACTCTTCACCTTCAGTAGCTTCTATCAAACAGTTGCCATGACTGGAGTAATGTGGACTCTTGCCTCTCGCCCCTGCTGCCAGGTACAACCTTGCAGCCCGAGAGGACATCTCAGCAAGCATGAATCCCTGCACAGGCCAGCCCCGTACTCGGAAGAGACCACCTCGTCAAGGTAGAAGCGACCCTCTCCCTTGCACCAAGGTGGGCAGCCTCCCTCCTGTCTAACCCTGCACTTTCAACTTGGTTCCCTGAAAGAAAGATGAAGCCTGCCTCAGCCTGGGACACATCACCGCCATCCTGGAGCTCTGAGAACTCCCCTCTGAGAGAGATGAACTAAGGACTCAGCTCCAGGCCTAGCCAACAGCTGCCCTGCCTCACCGCGACCCCGCCCCCATTGCTGTCAGCTATCACGAGAAGCACAAACAGGCATCCAGCTGCACATCAGCCTGAGAGCCTGCTAACCACCGTGGGCCAGTTCTCCGCGCTGCAGCAACACAGTCATCACCTTGCACTCAGTGGCTTCCAACCCACACACCTTTTCTGGACTCTTCTAGATTTAAAAGCTGCCCTCCTCTGCCTGCGAGTTGCTCCCACAAGCCCCTTCAACTGGAAAGATCCGGAGAAGGCCAGTTCACTTGGGCTCAATTGCCACAAGGAGTTAAAAACTCTCCCACTGTTTTGGGGAGGCCTTAGCAACAGATTTAGCCAAGCCACCAGCACCCTTTCCCTGAGGTTTCTCTGTCCCTTACAGCTCCATCACGGTCCCCTGAGCAAACAATGCAGACCAAAACTGCTAAGATGCACCTCCCCTTCCCGGAAGGCCAGTCCAAGAGCCCTGAGTCGCCCGTGCCACTGTGAGTGCCCTCCGAATGTGTCGCCTCAGCCTTCTGCCACCCACATCCTGCTGGGACACCTGTCTGGTCCTAAAATTTGTCACCTCTGCTCTGATTGGTTCCTGTCAGCCAATCCTTCCTTCTTCACCACTGACCTGGACTCAACCTCCCAGAGGTTCAAAATCTTGTTCCCTCTTTAAAAACACTTCTGATTAGCGACACTTCCACCCCATCCGGAAAAACTTTACCCAGTATTCCCGGAAGAGCAGAGGCAGACTTTCCCCCACCATTTGTTCTGCAAGCTCAGGCCGCAGTACTGGCACCTGTACCCGCCAGCTCAGCCTTGGGCATCTGTGTCCCCGGCCCTGGCCTCCCATCCCCCACCCATACTAGGAAGACAATAAAAGTTTGTAGGGTCCTACTGTAAAGCATCATCCCTAGACATGCCCTATCCTGATCACTGGCAATAACAACAGGCTTATGTCTATAAAAGAAGTAACTAATACTACATATAGCATGCAGTCCACAAAGCTCTAAAAAAGTTTTTTTTTTTTTTTTAAAGAAACCCAGCTTGTAATGCACACGCATATAAAACCCAGGTACATATTAACTACCTCTGTAAGTTTCAGGCATCCAGCCTTACATCCACTAAAAATTTTGCATGGGCCAGATAGCTCAATTCTGATAGCAAACTGTTAATTTGTTTCTTTTTTCTTTTGTACTGGGAATCGAACCCAGAACTTTGTACTTGCCAGATAGGTGCTTATGCTGCTGTG